CGTTTCAGAGTAGCTTCTGGTATTCTACTGGGTTCTCGATCACGTCTAAATACACGGTTGTGTTTATATGCAAACATAATGTGAGATAGCTCGTTTAATATAGCTGGTTTCGCTTGATATTTCTCGATAGAAGGTTCACTCGTAAAAGATCGCTCGTAAATTGATCTCTCGTAAAGTTCGCGGACCGACCCGTTGCCAAAACGCTCCACAAGTTTTAGTGTGGGTCTACCGCGAACGGTGTGTGACTTTGTATGTACATTGAGCGTAATAGCCATCGAATTTCTTTCGCTTTCATCAAGCGAGGAATTTTCCACAAAGGCGGCCGTTGCTTGAAACCATGCTCTCTACGATTCATTCTACGCATGCGCGTACACTTCACGAATGCGCTGTAGTTGAACTGCGTTTTGTGACTAAACGCAAAAAAAAAAAAATATGGAGTCGAATTTATACCTCGGGCGTTTCCTTCGGAAAGCCCGAGTAATCAGGGTTTCATGTTACATACCTTTCCGAGGAAAACAAAAGTATCAAAATACAAATGTTGGCCTGAAAAGTGAAATTGTCACGTTTGCTACTTCAACGTATTAGTAAATTTCAAATAAACGAAAATCAACGCAAATACCAGAGGAAAATTTAAAAGCTGTCTTTGCAAACAGTAATTTAAAGTTATTGTTGATTATGTCTGATCAAGGTGTCTGTCCGTTCATATTCTGCAAGGGGAAAAGCCCTGGGTACCAAGGTAAATACGAAGTGGGAGTGAGCCGGGCAGGGATGAGTACCTGTGTGACAACTATGCCTGAGCTAAACATTGATCTCTGCACTGTCTGAGATTTTCTCACTAGTTTGTTCATTTCGTTAGGAATATACGGTAGAGACATCAGTCTTGATAGAAAAGCTGACAACGTGTTTTGAAAGGGAATCAAGTCGACTGTCTTAGCAAAGAAAAAAGCTGGACGTAGGGCGGCATAGAATTTAAGCCAATCAAAACCTGCTCTAATAAATATGGCAACAAGGATCCGAGGAAAGGCACACGAATGCAAGCGTTGTGGTCAGTTGTTTGACCAGTT